TTCAGTCCCTTGTATCGGAGCAATTGTACGCGCTTCTTCACGAAATATTTTTCGTACAATAGAAACAACTCCTCGCCATCCAAGAGACTGATAGAGATGTACTTTTTCCATGCAGTCGGGTCTCTTTTAATATTTAAATAGAATTTACTGTCAATAATGGGCGTTTTTCATGCACGCTGGTCTTTTACAATATTTTATTTTACAAGCTTTGTATTTGCATATTTGACATGCAAAGGAGATAGCATTGTTAGAAATATTGCGAGCCTATCGAAGGAGCTTTCGCACGCTAAATTCTTATCCCAAGGCGAACGTGATGCAGACAGCAAATCTCTCTCGCTTCCGTCTCCGTACCGGTACCGTTTATGAGATGCTCACTGTGGACATAACATCTTTAGTCTCCTCTTCAAATTACCCTGAGAAAGCACGGGGACGCAATGAGCACGATGTAAATCGTTCGGCGCCAACGTCATCCCATAAGTGGGCACTCATGGAGCCAAGACTGTATTCTGTCGCTGCGCGACCTCAACGCGGCCGTGTCGTCGGCGTAAAGCGGTTCTACTGTCAATGCCTTTTCTGTCATCCGCGCTTAATGATTGGCGTCTGTTGCGACCAAGGGAATAATATTATCCCGTTGGTTGCGACTGCCTACTCCAGCTTCCGAAACCAATCGACACAAGATACGTTGGTGTAATTTTTAGTGTGGATTGGATACAATACATCGATAATGTCTCTCTTATTATTCTTGTGAGTGCGCACGCACGCATGCAACTACGGCGCATGGAGCATCCCTGCTGCATTGGCGACAGCTCTTGGCGACCGTACACCTTGCTGCAATCTCCAAAATCATCTTATTTTAGCCAATCACTATGCAGAAATACGTATGCCCAGAATCTATCCCCGTGGTCCGAACGCAAGTGCATAGGAGAGAAGAGTGAGTTTCGTGTCAAACGGCCGCCGCCGCCCAAGGAAGACCTGGTGAATGGATTACAATGAGTAGCGAAGCAGAGCGTGCTGCTTGAACTCGACGTGGCGGTACTGTCGTTGTTTGCTGTTGGGGCCATCTGTGTCTTAACGAGCAGCTGTTTGGCTTTGGAAGGTCTGGCCGTCCGATACAGTATCTCCTAACGATGCTTCATCTGTGGCCCATTCACTATTACCACCGCATCCACAGTATGTGGGTGCGGTGTGGTGGTAGTCTTGGGTGGTAGTGCTAAAATACGACGATCCTGAATGGAGCCGCACAGCGATGAGCAAAGAAGGCAGATGTACGTTGTTTGATCGATTGGTGCTGGATCCTTCCGAGAACAGTATTTTTCCTTTAGTTTCCCCACTCGGTTTACCCCGCAAAGTGGCGCGCACGTAGCGCTAGGGAATAATCCCATCGTGTTTGATGGAAATTACTGGACGAGGTTGTTTCTCCGACAGTACGACGACTTGGCTGCCGAACGTTGTCGGGACGAAATGCGATGATGAAAAGGCTAGACTTGGACGAGGAAAATGTGGTGCTCATCATCTTGATGCAGCATGGCCTTACTGGACGCCACACCGTTTTGAATGTGGCGGCGCGTTGGGCTTTGTTTTCGTTGGCAGCAACGTCATTTTATAGCTCATTCCATACGATGGGAACGGTTGACGAGCCAACGCTTCGCAATATTTGGATTGGTGGATAGGTACGATGGATCAAGGCACCAAAAACGCTTCTGCTTTAACAGATTTCTACACTGCATGTATACTCTGCACTCGGCTTCGTGGTCGCGCGATTAGCAAAAACGAGTGTCTGGCATCATCTACGAGCCCACTTTGCCAAAGCGACGCTTCAGATCTGGCCTGACTCTGGCCATGAGTACTGTATGCTCAAACCCTATACATGTGGCACTCGGTTGGAGCGGCTGGACAACTCGAACCCAATCGATGTCGGTCACCGCGAGATGCTAGGGCATCATACAGCCTATGCCCGCCCTGCGTGCAACTCATGCGATGAACTTTCTATCGGTGGCTGCGCGACCTCAAGTACGCTAGACTGGCCTAGTCTGATTGAGCTATAATTGCGTTGCCGTGCACCGAAGGAATCTTAATCATTCAACCCCTCTTCCATTGCGTGATGCATGCTCCGGACATGGATGGTGGAGGCACTCCCTTATGTTTGTGGTACGTGCCGGCTGCCACATGCATGCAACCGAGTAAAGACTAGCCTTCGCCGTCTCTCTTGCGCCTCGCATCCACATGGTCGTCTCGTAGCACATATATACCAACTGAAAAACGTCTGCAACTACCACAACAGCCACTATGACAGCATGCACGTTCCAAAATCCATCCAGCGGCCGCCATCAGCGAGCATGGCTCTCCTCATTTTCACATTGGCTTCGCCTCCACCATGAAGCTTATCTTTCTCACTGCATTCCTCGCCACCGCGTCGTCGGCCGTCGCCCTCGAAATGTCGAACGCAGACCGCGCCGCGCTCACCAAGGAGCTCGAGCAGTGGAAGTCGAGCCATGCGGGCAAGTCGGCCGAGTCGCTTGGTCTTCTTCCGTCGCAAAACACCGAAGAGGCGCTGACCGAAGAAGCCAAGCTCGAGGACGAGCTCACGCGCTTTGCCAACGCCAAGCAAGTTGTCGCCGACCTCAACAAGAAGCACCCGGGCGCCACCTTTGACTACAACAACCAGTTTGCTCTGCTCAACGCACACGAGTTCCAGGCGTACGTCAAGGGCTCGTTCAACAAGGAGCAAGCGCGCCGCGTACTGCGCGCCGAGCACGAAGAGACCACGCTCACGCAGTCCCAGATCGAGGCCGCCGACAAGGACTGGTCGACGACCAAGTGCATGCCGCCGGTCAAGAACCAAGGCGGCTGCGGCAGCTGCTGGGCCTTTGCCACCGCCGGCGCTTCGGCCATGGGCCACTGCATCGTCACGGGCAAGCTCCTCGACCTCTCGGAGCAGCAACTCGTGAGCTGCGCCAAGGGCGCGGGTATGGGTTGCCAGGGCGGCTGGCCCAACAAGGCGCTCGACTACATCTCGTCGACCGGTCTCTGCTCGGCCAAGGACTACCCGTACACGACAAGCGACAGTAGTTGCAAGTCGACGTGCGCCAAGACCAAGCTCAGCATCGGTAAGACCGTCGACATCCGCGGTGAGAGCGCGATCCAAAAGGCCCTTGACACGCAGCCGATCTCGGTCACGGTCGAGGCCGGCAACGATGTGTGGCAGCACTACAAGAGCGGCGTCGTACAGAGCTGTCCGGGCGCGCAGTCGGACCACGCGGTCATTGCGGTCGGGTACGGCACGAAAGACGGCCAGCAGCACTTTAAGATCCGCAACTCGTGGGGCGCCAACTGGGGCGAAGGCGGGTACATGTACCTCAAGCGCGGCGGCGGCGGCAAGGGCATGTGCAACGTCGCCGACGGCGGCTCGTACCCAACGTTGAGCGGGAAGCCGGCGTCGAATCCGACCGACAGTCCCAGCGACTACCCGAGCGACGAGCCGAACGACGAACCCAGCGACGAGCCGAGTGACGGCCCCACGGACGAGCCAAGCGATGCGCCGACCGAGTACCCGTCCGACGACGGCTCGACGACCGACATGCCGACCGAGGACCCGACGAACGCTCCGACGACGCGCCCGCACACCAAGCGCCCGCGCACCAAGCACCCGCGCACCAAGCACCCGAAGAAGCCGCACACGAAGAAGCCGTGCCCGGGTGCGTCCAACTAGTTCATTTGTGCGTTTTGCTGTGATTACCAATCTACAAGTGTCAATTTGTTTCATATTTTCTTGGACCTGACATTTGCTTCAGAAGCACCGCCGGATCGTTGTACAGCAGTGTAGGGCTGTTTATAGCGTGTAGTGGCTCGTTTGACCCGTACACATTTCAAGCCTAAAATGACAATCAATGATGCTTGCGATACCAATACGGTGGCACAGCGCACGCAGCAGCACACGCGTGCTTTATTGGCTCGACGGCCGAGCCGATTCAACCACAAATGCACCACCGTTGTTGTTGAAGTGGGTCGTCCAAAATTGTACCACCGTGTCATGCCCGCAAGTATGCCCGCAGTACAGGTACCGTGGCGAAGCGACCGTCCAGATGCAATCCTGATCCCAAAATCTGCAGTGGCAAGTAGCAGGTCGACTCGCTTCTGCCAACAAGAATGTGTCACAAGGAACCTATCACTGAAAGCTTGGCCGAACGTCGGGTCGTTTCTGACGAACCCTTGGAACACGCGCCCATAGTCTTCAGAAACGGCGCCGCTTCTACAACAATAGCGGACGATGGGACGAACCACTCACTAAGATCTCATTTTCATCGTCTGCACCGCCGACAACGCAAGGCTAGTTTGAGCGTTTTGGATTTGCCATCATCCAGACATCGGATACAACCTTGCATGCGACGGAATCATGCGATCGCTGTGTGCAATCGGGTTCCAATGGACCTCGTCACGTTCTCACTAATCGCGCACGCGCCTTCGAAAAACATTACGCCGATTGCCGTTCGTCAATGCAGCATCGGTCTCGTGCATGGAGTCTCGAGCCACTTTGCCCTTTGACCACTTTGCCTTTTGCCTGTTCCTATGAAGTGGATGACCGTGTATCTGATTCTTCTCGCCGCGTCGGCGACGGCCCTTCAAATGACCAACGACGAGCGCAACGCCCTACTGAAGGAGCTCGCGGCATGGAAGGCGAGCGCGGCGGGGCTGCGCGCGGCCGCCCACCACCTCCTGCCTCCGTCACCGCTACTCCAAAGCCTTAGCAGTGACCAGCAACTCGATGTCGAGCTCGCGCGCTTTGCAGCCACCAAGAAGATCGTCGCAGCACTCAACGCCGCGCACCCGCACGCGACGTTTTCGACCGACAACCGATTCGCGCTCTTGACGTCTGAAGAGTTTCGTACGTACGCCCAAGGCGCACTGCCCAAGCAAATACTGACGCGGCAGCTGCGCGACGAGCTCACGTCGGCGCAGTTGGCGGCCACCAGCGTTGACTGGACGACCACCCAGTGCATGCCTGCAGTCCGCGACCAAGGGCAGTGCGGTAGCTGCTGGGCCATCTCGGCCACCGGCGCCGCCGAGATGGCGCACTGCCTCGCCACAGGCAAGCTCCTCAACCTAGCCGAGCAGCAGCTTGTGAGCTGCGCTAATAACGCAGGCTATGGTTGCAACGGCGGCTGGCCCAGCCAAGCGCTCGACTACATCGCGACGACCGGTCTCTGCTCGTCGAGCGAGTTTCCGTACACAGCGTCCGATGCCAGCTGCAACACAACCTGTAGCAAGACCAAGCTACAGATCGGCGCGACCGTCAATATCCAAGGCGAGCGCGCGCTCCAGGCCGCGATCGACATGCAGCCCGTCGTTGTGACAGTCGAAGCCGGCAACGACGTCTGGCGCAATTACAAGAGCGGCGTCGTGACGCAGTGCCCCGGGGCAGCGTCCGACCACGCCGTCGTGGCCGTCGGGTACGGCAGTAGCAACGGCACGGCATATTACAAAATTCGCAACTCGTGGGGAGAATACTGGGGCGACCACGGCTACATCTACCTCCAGCGCGGCGTCGGTGGCAAGGGCATGTGCAACGTCGCCGACCAGTGCTCGTACCCGACCATGGTTGCCGGTAAACCGACGACGACACCGACGACGACGACGACACCGACCGTCGCCCCCACCTACACACCGACGCACACGGCGACACCAACGATTCATCCCACCACCGCACCGAGCAATCCGGTGGTGGCTCCGACAACTGCACCGACCGACACGCCTCGGGACAAGCCCACGGCGCCGCCGGCACCGACACCGCGCCTGACGACTATGCACCCTCCCGCCAAGCACCCGCACACCAAACGCGGGCACAGTCACACCTCACATCCGTCAACATATTAACTTCAACCAAGGGCATAAAAACCCATCAACAAACAGTCTTCTCGTCTACTTGTCTTGTGATCCGAGACGACGACGGGTCTGCAATTCTCGCCTACTACATGTTTGTTGGCTCTGGGGACTCTACTACGCCTTTGGTCGACCGAACGATAGTGGTGGTTCAACAATGCATGTAGTATTCACGCTGCAGGCAGTACGAGTTTCGCTTTGTTAGCAATAGAACCCTGCGACTAGGACCCTTCTATAACGTTCTTAATAAAGGTCGATCGATGGGATGCAAGACGCGTGCAGGCAGGAAGGAGGAGGAGTTTGTTTAGAGAACAGGGTCACACCTATCGTCGGCCCGGGCCCGGGCGGCGTCCTAATGCAGTGTCTGCGTCACGACCTCGGTCAATATTTCCACACACACAAGTACCTCCGTACTTGCCGCCCTGGGGAGCGTACGGGGCCGGCGGCGACCGGCGCGGGTCGCCATGTCCTCCGCGCGGCGCGTAGGGCGGCGGCTGCAACGCGTGCGGCGCGCTCTGAAAGCCACCTAGCTGCGGCGGCGGGGCCAGTCGCGGATCTCCACGAGGATCTCCACGGGGATCTCCACGGGGATCTCCACGGGGATCTCCACGCGGATCTCCACGCGGGTCGCGCGCCATCATGCGCGGGTCCCGCTGCGGTGGCGCGTACGGCTCGGGCGCGCCGTACGAGGTCGGTGGTGGCTGGTACGGCGCCTGCACGGGCGGCGGCTGGCGGTACTCTGCTTGCGGTGGCTGGCGGTAGTCT